GTGTTACACCTTCGTTTTGATCAGTGCATTATCAGCAAATATCGCTATAAGATCTGAGGCCATGGTCAAACGTCGAACTTTTCATGTGCCGATCCTAATGCAAATGAAGTGAAACAAAAAAATTAGCTCATTAACATTAGGTTCGGCACATGAAAAGTTCGATGTTTGACCTTGGCCTAAGTTTTGCAACTTTTATGCAAAGAATCTACATATATAAAGGAAGGAAAGCGAAATTCTACCGGACCCAACGCGATATTTGCCAATAAAGCGGTAATCGCTACAGAAAAACAAAACAAGTTTGCGGAAGTGGGAAGGTTCTTGTATTTTGACTGTACAATAATGCACCTATCAATGTTAACCCCGAGGGGGGAAGGTCGGGCAAAGGGGGGGGGGGGATTTGATCAAGCAGTTTGTCCCGTGGGTCGGGATTTGGACTGACACTTTTTTTCTGAGTGGCCCGAGGGGGGGGATTTTTGACAGATTAACACTGATCTCAGACGATATACTGAAGAAACCCGAGCCAATTTTTGAACAAACTGAAGACTGGGCACTAGTTCATCGCTCGCAACCTCGTTCCCAGACTCTTTCCTCTACGCTCCTAGGAGCGTAGAGGAAAGAGCCTGGGAAAGAGGTTACATCGCTCACCGTCTCGCGCGTGGTTTTTACAAGAAATATGGAGATTTCTGGACATTTTATATTATGTTAATATCGATTTATCATTTATACTTATATGTTAAAACTTCACATTATGTACTGTTTAAAACACGAGTTGGACTGTTTTGTCAGATATAAAACACGAAGCGCAGCCGAGCGTTTTAAATAGCTTAAAATACGACTACAAAAGAATACTAATTAGGACGAACAATTATATAAGAATAGTAATATTAATTAAGATGAACGATTATATAATGCCACATGCATACATGTGTTTTATCAGATTATTAAGTCGCTCCACATGACGTAATATGGCTAACACGATATGCCACAAGGTTTATGAACCATTAAGGAGTATTTTAAGTTATTTTGAAACGTTTATTATATTTGTAATACTTTTAAATTATACCGCTGAATGTATTCATGTCATTTCCCTATCACCTGACATATAGAGTGCATCAGAAACCCAAATACTTCAGGAATACAATTTCATCCCGGGGGTGGGGAATTTTGCCCAGGACTTTTGTCCCGAGGGAGTGGCATTTGACATTTTTTTCTGTAAAAATGTCAAATCCCCACCCCTTGCCCGACCCCCCCACCCTCGGGGTTAACATTGATAGGTGGGTTTGCATGGTAAAAATAAATATTATTTCTCAAACCGTGTTCAATTTCTTTCCAACAATTCGATATGCCTTTTGTTTAAAACAAACCGATCCGTCTTTGTCCGAGAATTTCATCAGACGTTCCTTCTCAACCAGTGAGGAAAACTTTGATTCGTCAATATAGAATGTAGCGCATGTCCACGCCAAGAACGACTCGACGCTTGCAAACTTATATTCATAGAAAAGAGTCTCGCTGGTAAGAATTTTAAAGCCAAGTTCTTTACACATAGAATCTACTGCGGTTCTTCCCACAAAATACGGCGCTGGTTTCATAGCGCTGACTGCTACTGCCATTTCTAGTAATGCCGCAATAGGCTGCGGCCAGTCATCAGCGGAATGGATAGCTAGTCGACCGCCGGGCTTGAGGCACTTTACTGCTCTATTGAGATATTCTTCCTTCTCGTGTGTGTTTAACCAGTGAAACACAAAATTACTGAAGAAGACATCGTAGAATTCTTCGTCGGAATGCGGGAACACGCTCGAACTGTTTCCCACTGTAAAACTGATGTTTCTCGCAGTTTGAATAGCAATTTCAACTCTGTCACTTCTCTGTTTGGATCGGGGTCGACGCCAAATACGTTTTCAAAACCAACTTGGTTTGCAGTGTATGCCGTCAGCTCCCCCGTCCCACAGCCCATATCCAACACTTTCTGGCCATAACCGAGCTCAAGAAGGGATACAAACTGTTGACCTAGTTTAATCTGGATAGCATTGTTCTTTGAATACTTTTCTGCGATGCATTTGTAGTCTTGTTGTCCAGTTAAAGCCGAGGCCATAGTCACACTGTGGTTTCCTTCACACATATAAAACTCTAAAATGATATTATAACTTATTTTGAAGATTTTCGTTTGCACAATGCACGTTTTGGGCTTTGTCTAAAATGGCGATTTATAACGGTAGTCCCAGACTCCTGCGGCAAGTAATTTCGCGCGGTTGCAGAAGTGAGACGTGTTTGTTTTCAACAAAGTTTGCAAAAACAATTATATTTATTTATTAACTTTACAATCATACAAAAAATTATAACAATGATTGAAGGTATGGTCAACAGAACATGAGTCCCATGTGAAGACCAACCTGATACAATACAATAAGTAGACATACATTAAAGACAAGGACTAGAACACTATTTAGATCTATTTACATAGCTACATAAAAATTAATAGTTTAGATTATGAGCAACAGCTTTAAAAGTTGAAAGAACAGCATTTAGAGCAGTAGGTTTTCCAAGTGCACATTCTGTTAACATCGAAAGAAGAGTCTAATTGAGAAGTGTAGTGAGAATGGAGCTGGAGCTTAAAGGATGAAACAGACGAACTGTTACGAATGATCGGAGAGAGATTGTTCCATAGAAAGACAATTCGGTTAAAAAAAGAGTTTCTAAAAAGGGAGGTTTTGCACGGATTGACTTGAAGCAAGTTGTGACAGTTGTCCTTACTTGAACGGGTGCGAGATGAGCGATTAGAAGAAAAGGTGACAATAGAGGAGATATCTAGGTCGTAGAGGCCTTGTTTGCATTTGAAAAAAAAGATGAGATCCTTTATTTCAAGCCAGTAAGATATAGGCAATAAATTAAGTTTCCTAAGACGCTCAAGATACGACAACTCATAATTTTGAAGTATAAATTTAGTAGCTCGTCTCTGAACACCCTCCAGGATCGCAAGATCGCGTGACAAGGCTTGAGGTGCCCAGATCTCACTGGCGTAAGACAGGTGAGATCGGACGAGTGAGAGATAGAGAAGCCGACGGCAGCGAGTATCAGTCATTTGAGAACAATTTTTTTTTGTTTATATCGAGAGTTGACGTGGAAAAAGTTTTGTAAAGAAAAAACGCATTTCAAGCACTATAAAGATCTAACAGACAGTGTTTTCAACCCAGATGACCCGAGAACTCAGTTTGTGTGAAATGTCACACAAGTTGTCCTTTATGGAACTTATTATCTATATCATGTTGTTAGGTCAATCGAACCTTATATATAGTGGTCCCTTATTGCGTGTGCCGAATGCAATTACCATAATGCTTATTGAATATTACTTTATCTCATGGTTCAACTCCACGTCTGAGTATAGCATTCTGGCGGTTGTGGACGGTGTACGTGATAGGGAAGGCAGTCATTAAAATTTTAATATAGCTTGCTCGATACAAAACAATCTTAACAGCTTCAAATTACTCAGATATTTCATTCACGAGTTCAGAATTTCAATGAGGATCTCATGTCGTTGTCTTTATCGTTGTTGGTTTCAATTTGTGGCCTGTTAATTTGTTTATCTGTTTATTAGTATGTCTAATATCTGTCACGCCATAGTGTAAATTATTGTTATGTTTATGTATGTTGTGGAACCCCGTTATTGGAGATTTTATCTCTGTGTGGTCATTCCAGCCATTGTGTGTAATTATAGTTATTTTATATCTTTACTAATTAATAATGGCAAACTTGTAAAATAAAATAAAGAACTTAATATTTCAAAATCTATCCCCAAACTACAAATTAGACAGCAAGACAAAGCGTTTTGACGATAATTAGTTTTAGCTTTGTTTATACTTTGTAGTTTGCACTCCTGCTCAAATTCAACATGGCGGATTTATAAGGGCATTTTTGTTTTCAATTTGAATACCGGTCACGTGACCAAGCACGCATTCTAGGTCTAATAATATTTCTATGGTTCTACTTCGTCAGCAGCCGAAGTCGTTACGGAGTTGTACGAGGGAGAGTATCACACATGCGCAAGTCAGTGGTATCATTCATGGCGGCAAGCAAGCATGCTTTTACCAGTGAACTCCATGTCTTTTATCTGGAATGATAACATGCGGGAGAAACGTGAAGCCAATGCCAACGCCACTTGACGCGCGCTGATTTGTGATAGACCGCGCGGTTATGGCGTATAAGGGGACTGAAACTAACGTACTATGTGGCGTGGCAATTGACCGCGTGTCGTGATGGCGTATAAGGGGACTGAAACTGACGTACTATATGGCGTGGAAATGGCGTGGAGGGCTGACGCCACTGCTCACGCGAGGCTTCACTTTTTAACTGCCAAATGACTGAATGTTATCGTTCCAGGTAAATAGATTGAGTTCACTGATGCTAACGCCACTTGACGCGTTGATGGCGTATAAAGCCCGTTCTCCACTAGGCGAATTTGTTCGCGCGAACAGTAAAAAAGTAGGAACTGATCCAACTTTTTCGCGGCGAATTTTTTCGCTGACCAATCACATTGCCAAGATTTGTTTTTCGCTTCGCGTCGCGCGAAAAAATTCGCCTAGTGGAGAACGGGCTTAAGGAGAAAAGATAAAGATCTTGGTGCTTGCGTTAATAGCAACCTTCCATGGAATGACCATATTTTCACCATCACTGCAAAAGGGAACAAGATGCTTGGACTTCTGAAAAGAACTTGTCACCTCTTGACTAACACAACTGTGAGACGGACGCTGTACTTGACGCTTGGGTATCTAAGAGAGCGTAGGTTCTTTCGATAGAATCAAGGACGATCTACACCATAGTTTGGACGATCTACACCATATTTACACTAACACACAAGTTCAAAAAGCGAGTGCAAAACTATATACAACAAAAACAGATTATCAATAATTATCCTGAATGTCCCAGTTATCCTAGTGCAAGTGTAATTCTATTCCAACCAATATTAGAATGTGTGCAGATAGTTATAGGGTTTAAAATACTGTCAATTCTCGACAATTAATTTGCAAGGAATTATTTTTAATTTTGAAGAGATTTGGGGAATGTTAGGGAACATTTCAGACATACATTCGGCACGACTTGGAGATTTTTGTAATGAGTAATACAGTATAGCCCTTGAGTGCGCGCAGTCTACTGTCTACTCAGGAATGATACCAATTGCCTATTCCTAAATTGGTAAGGGCAGGGGCGTAGCCAACCTCGTACCCAGGGTATTTGCTCTTGGGGAGCGAAATACCCTGGTATGGCCTGGTCACGTAACCCGCGGATTTTGCGTAAAATGGTGTATTGTTTACTAGGGTCGGGGGAGTGAGTATACATTGTCACTCCTAGTAATTAAAATTTAAAAGCGTGATATAATTACTAGGAGTGACAATGTATACTCACTCCCCCGACCCTAGTAAACAATACGCCATTTTACGCAAAATCCGCGGGTCACGTGACCAGGCCATACCAGGGTATTTCGCTCCCCAAGAGCAAATACCCTGGGTACGAGGTTGGGACGTAGCCCCCCCCCCCCCGTGGCTTCACCTCTGGGCAAGGGGGATGGTTGCAAGCGTCAAAAATCACGAAATAAATTTTGAAAAGTAGCAGTTTATGGACAATTTAACCTTTACACATCTCCATTCTCCACAAGTTAAAGTCCAAAAGTGGTGTGCCACAGAGCAGAAAGTGTGGTCGTTTTACACTTCCAAGCTGTTAAGTAAAGTTGGGTTGTTTTCTTTTCCGGTTGAATTTTCAACACTACAAGATACTTCCTGCAGTCTGCCACTGGTAGCCTATAACAGTGTACACAGGCTAAGCCACAAGATGGCTTTGGAATGCAGATTACGGCCGCATCAAATTCAAATTGATGAATTCTGAAACAGCAATTATTATCTTTACCAGGAGGTTATCAGGGTGCGAAAATTCTCGTACTTTACGTACCAGAGGTACGCCAATATTACGGTCTGGTACTTCCTTTGTTTTCAGCCAAGTACCATGTATAGTATGCGCGAAACTCTGGCTATCTGCGTAGTGCCATATGACCAGTAAATCTTCCAAGGTATTCACTGAAACCGTAATACTGCAGCTATACAGTTACTTGCCAAAAGTGTAGATAAAAGACCAAAAAGTTCAATATTTTGCTAGTTCAAAATTCCATCAACGACTTTCCCAATTAGTTGTTACATGTTCAACGATATGCATTTAGTTTAATAACAGTCTAGCATGATTTCATTTAAGCTATTTTAAACAAAATGTATCGGATCATATTAAACTGTTTGGGGGTACGTATCGATCAACACGCAGTTGCAAACCCCTGCGCTTTCATTTGCTTACTCTTTTCTTGTTGGGGGTGAGGCAACACTTTTCTTGCGATAGTAACTTCTACAATCTTGGAAACATATGTGTAGACTTTTCAAAATATACACCCAAATTTGAAAACATATGATGAAAATGTGAGCATTTTTCAATTAAAGCAACTATTTACCTTAAATCCCCCCCCCCCTTCCCCCACAAACAATGTTGGTTCAGGTAAAGTGGATTTGCAACACATGTCACCTAAATACCAACATTGTATAAGGGGGGAGAGGGACAAAGTTTGAAAATTTAAGAAGTCTACTAATTTTTTTCCAGGATTGTAGTATTAAAAATATTTTGGGGGTATCGGTCAACATGCAGTTGCAAACCACTGCGCTTTCATTTGCTTACTCTTTTTCTTGTTGGGGTTGAGGCAACACTTTCCTTGCGATAGTAACTTCTAGGTTACTAGGCTGCCCTCCTCCCCCCCCCCAGTTCCGGCGTCCCTGAGGATCATATAAACAGCCCCTTATTCAGCAAATTCTGCATGCTGCCTTTGATCCCTTGGGGTGAGGCAGCACTTTCCTTGCGATAGTAACTTCTAGTTCTGCCGAGCCTCAGCTCGGCAGCACACTATTCTTAATTAACGTTACATAACGTTCTTGCTTTTTCGTGTCCAGTCCCCGCGGCCGAGTTATGTATAGTCGAATAGCGATTTTCACTCGGTGGAGATTTCGGCATTCCAGGGGGCTCATTAAGTATTCAAGTTGGTTTGTAAAATGAGGGGGTTGTTTATGGGCGGCCGTTACCACCAAAAATACTACACGTGTGAAATGAATGGACATAAACAGAAATCATTCATTACAAACACGAACGAGTCATCATGTTTAGAAATGCTTGAACCTAACGTAGTGATATGACTGGACAAGTCCAGAAATGATTTGTTTAAAATTGAAACGATTCACTTGATTGTGTATTCATTCGTCTATTATTGCGCTGATTCATATAGTTCAAGTGAAATGGCTTGGCATATTTTGCAATGACTTAGCAGGTCGTATACAAGTGACACGTTCGGTTGGCAAATAATTCATGCTTTTTTAGAACCATCCGCTGTGTTTTAAAATAGCTCAACTAAATACGAAATGATTCGGCTAGATGGGACGTGATTCAACCTTATGTGAAATAAATAAACTAAATGTGAAACGACTCAATGCAATGTGAAATCACTCAGTTAAATGCGACATCGTTCAACTAGATGTGACACGATTCAATACCATGTGAAATCACTCAACTAAATGTGAAATCATTCAACTAAATGTGAAATGATTCAACAAGATGTGAAGTGATTCAACAAGATGTGAAATGATTCAACTAAATGTGAAATGATTCAACTAAATGTGAAATGATTCAACTAAATGTGAAATGATTCGCGTCCACGTGAACTGACACGACATGTTTTGAACTGACGTAATTTGTGCGGTCTTGGCACGTCTTGTTGTGAAGTGATTCATCAAGTTGTGAAGTGAATCAACAAGATGCTTCCGTCTTATTGATTAAACTTCCTTCGAAGAAAATTTACGGAAATCACAATGAAATTTGTCGGAATAAAATTTACATATGGAAATTCACCGCCCGAAATGAAAATTAACTATCGATCAAAGTCCTTTCCTCGACTCGCAATTCAACGTTCGCAAATAGCAATTTTATATCGCGACATTTCCCAAGCTTTTGTGTGCGTTTTGACGGAAAAAATATTTCTCCTCGAAGATCTCACTATAAAGATATGTGTTTAAAGATTTATAATCTGTTTTTAACCTATATTCCCTCGATATTTTCTGTGTTGTTGTAATGTACTCGGGTGAATATGATGCTTGTGATGCTACTCTGAGACCCCGTTCACACGAATGACACGATACCGGCAGAGTTTGAAAACGGTACGAAATTCTTACGTTTAGGGGTTGCGTTCACACGATACCTGTATGAAAAACTGTGAAACCGTAACGCTAACCGTAAGAGTTTGAAAACGGAACGAAATTCTACCATCAGAGTGCCGTGTGAACGCCTAACCGTAAGAATTTCATTACGGTTATGCAAAACTGCAAAAGTTGTTGTTGGATATTATATTCTTTTTATTTTAACTGATTTTTAGCCTCCCCGGGCCAAATTTCGTAGGAAATATGGCCCTCCCTTAGGAAATTTGCCCCCCTCTAAAAAATTATAGTTTACTTTATCTTTTGGCTCGGAAATCCCAAAGCTTCTACTAAAACCAAATTTCTAGAAATTTTTCCCAACATTTGTAGTTAGTTTGCGTATATTTTTTTGTGTCAAAACAAAATTCTCCACTGAATTGCAATACTGACGAGAATTAGGCCAAGAGAATTGCTAATTAGGCCTACCACACTGACGGATTTTATGTAGCTGCTGCATGTAACCTTTGTTTTTTTTGCGTGCATGTTTGCGGAATGTTTTTGTGAGTCATGCAAAGTTTGCGGAATGTTTTGTTAGTCATTCAAACCTTTGTGATTTTCTGTGTGCGAATGTTTTTGTGAGCCATAAAGCATGCAGTCTACTTCCGTTTTTACGGAATGCTTCTGTAATGCGTCGCAACTATGCATATGAGCGATTATATATATTGTGTATATGTAAGTAAAATGCATAGATTAAAAAAGTTTTTTTACGAAATAACCACTCATTTGATTTTGTTTTTCGATTTTCGATTTTCGAGGTTCGATTCCCACCCTGGTCAGGCATATTTTTCAAGCTTGCCCGGTGTGGATATACACTCAGAGTAGCATCACAAGCATCATATTCACCCGAGTACATTAACAACAACACAGAAAAAATCGAGGGAATATAGGTTAAAACAGATTATAAATCTTTAAACACATATCTTTATAGTGAGATCTTCGAGGAGAAATATTTTTTCCGTCAAAACGCACACAAAAGCTTGGGAAATGTCGCGATATAAAATTGCTATTTGCGAACGTTGAATTGCGAGTCGAAGAAAGGACTTTGATCGATAGTTAATTTTCATTTCGGGCAGTGAATTTCCATATGTAAATTTTATTCCGACAAATTTCATTGTGATTTCCGTAAATTTTCTTCGAAGGAAGTTTAATCAATAAGACGGAAGCATCTTGTTGATTCACTTCACAACTTGATGAATCACTTCACAACAAGACGTGCCAAGACCGCACAAATTACGTCAGTTCAAAACATGTCGTGTCAGTTCACGTGGACGCGAATCATTTCACATTTAGTTGAATCATTTCACATTTAGTTGAATCATTTCACATTTAGTTGAATCATTTCACATTTAGTTGAATCATTTCACATCTTGTTGAATCATTTCACATCTTGTTGAATCATTTCACATTTAGTTGAATGATTTCACATTTAGTTGAGTGATTTCACATAGTATTGAATCGTGTCACATCTAGTTGAACGATGTCGCATTTAACTGAGTGATTTCACATTGCATTGAGTCGTTTCACATTTAGTTTATTTATTTCACATAAGGTTGAATCATGTCCCATCTAGTTGAATCATTTCGTATTTAGTTGAGCTATTTTAAAACACAGCGGATGGTTCTAAAAAAGCATGAATTATTTGCCAACCGAACGTGTCACTTGTATACGACCTGCTAAGTCATTGCAAAATACGCCAAGCCATTTCACTTGAACGATATGAATCAGCGCAATAATAGACGAATGAATACACAATCAAGTGACTCATTTCAATTTTAAACAAATCATTTCTGGTCTTGTCCAGTCATATCACTACGTCAGGTTCAAGCATTTCTAAACATGATGACTCGTTCGTGTTTGTAATGAATGATTTCTGTTTATGTCCATTCATTTCACACGTGTAGTATTCTTGGTGGTAACGGCCGCCCATAGTTGTTCAACAAAATTTTCTTCAATGATGCGAGCAGGCTACTCAAATATGTGTCTTTTAAGTGTTTCACCCGAAATTTTCAGTACATAAAGTAGTAATATCTGTATGTTTAGTTCATATACTTAGTGTTTATTTATCGATGTGATGAACCGGTTTAATAAAGTTGCGAATATCGAGGGTAACAGCCTGGGTTCATGCTACCAGCTACCTACTTATGGCTACCTACTACAAATCGCTGGCTACTATGTATATGAAAGAGTTTAAGAATTTATAAACTATTGTTTGTTCAAAGTCGAGTAATGTATTGTCATTATAATTTTATTTTGACATTAGTCAAATGTCCGCAATGGCACAATATGTCTTACAGTTTTAAAATTCGCGCAGTACTAGAATTCGCGTAGCGCTGGGTGAGCAAATTTTAGCACTGCGCGAAATATAATCCGCGCGAAAAACGTTGTGGTAGTAAAGATAAAGCGTGCGTTTAACATAACAAGAACACTTATTGCATGGTTCTCATTTGACTAATATTAATACAATAATAGTACGACGCGAATTTTAACAAGTAAGGTATGGTATCATATTTCGTTATATATAAACGAACAATGTAAACTAGCCATACATTTCGCCGAACATAACTTCGGCCCCTTTGGACATATCTTTTCGTTATAGTCTCATTCGAACCAGAATCCAAAACACTATTCACAGTGTTATTTTCAAGCTTGTGTCTTCAGATTTTCATCTTTTATTTCGGTATTTACAGAATATTTATATTTTTAGCGCGGCCCGTGAAACGTAGCCTGCTCGCAGCCTGAAATTAATTTAGAAGGGGAAAATTTCACCTTCTAAATTTCAGGCTGCGAGCAGGCTAGTGAAACGTTCCTATACATCAAAACAGCTGTTTACATCCTAGGGGTTTGGAAAAACCGGAAATCGATTCTACAGGTCAAAGTACTCCCAGTGGCATGGTTTGCACGTGCATCGGGCTATATAGGCATACACGCAAGCATACACGTGGCGCGCGTGTGCGAGTAAAAACCCTATATTTTGAAAAATTCAAAATAAATATATTCAAACGAAACTTCCGACACGAAAGCGCTTTAATACAAGGAGTATTTTACTCATATTGACTCCAGCGACGTGCTGGGGTCTTGAAAAGGACGACGAATGAGCAACGTCTGATGAGGCCCAGGCCCAGTGACAGGATGGATCAAGATTGGGGCGGGGGGTATTACTGATCAAACATGAAACATTTCAGTAATGTTTTCGTAATATTTAGATTTTTTAAATATAAATTGTAATATCTTAATCTTGATTTTCAGAATTAAAATCTATATTTTAAAGTTAAAATCTGCAATTAGAAACAACAAAAATCGTAAAAATTTAAATTGGGGTGACGAGAAATTAAGTCGTTTACTGGCACTGACGAGTAAAATTGTCTGGCGTTGATAGCAGGGCCGTAGCAACCGGGGGTCTGGGGTTTTCAGCCCCGCCCCCCGCCCCCCAAAAAAATAACTGGTAAACTAGCGATAATCTGTGAAGTTTGAGAAGGATATAATTACCGAATAATCGCCCCTGACTAATCATCTCCCCCAATACAAAATTGCTTCCTACAGGTAGTGGATAAGCAGTAACTACTAAAGTATGGCGCATTGCCAGCCAATGGCGGTTAATAAGAGAAATTAGCAGATACTGACAGTACTCTACAACTGACAAGTAAAATCGTCTGGCGTTACAGAGTGTAAATTTGTCTGGCGTTAGACAGAGTTAATACTAAAGTGGGGTGCATTGTCAGCTAATGGGTACGCCGTTTATCCACTTTTGACCCAATGGCAACTTTTTCATGTTGGTTATTTACTCATGTTCCGTGCACGCAATTTAAGAATAAGTTCATTGGCTCAAAAGTAAACTCCCCTTTGGAGTGGTTTTGCATTCAGTTCATGTGGCAAAAAAGGCAGCACTTTCCTTGCGATAGTAACTCCTAGTATTAAAAATATTTTGGGGCTTGTTGCAGGATTTCTTAAGCTTGTTCCTCGTGTTACCAGCACATTTTCCTAATCGAATGGTACGTTATGTTACGTTATCATATTATAAAATCGCCGTGTTCAAGCATTTATGTTGTCTGTCGTCACCCAATGGCAATGGTAAGGAATACATGCAACAACTTTATATTCGAAAAGTCTGTAATGGAATTTTGAAAAATATTGAACTTTTTTGCATTTTGGCAAGTAACTGTATGTGTATATGTAAGTCTGACTTGTCTTGGCATGAAGCATGCATGATTGGACTGATGGAACAAAGGAATATGTATTGTTGGAGTCAATTGTATACAGCTATTTCAATTAAGGTTGTCCCCCGAGCAAAGCGGAAAAGTCGAATACGAGCGCGAAAGGCTGCTCGGGAATCGCTAATAAATGAATGATACTTGGATACTTTTGGATACTTTTGAAATTTTGGATACTTTTGTATTGCGTGCGGAAATTGCTACCACATTTGCATGGGGCGAAAATGGTATAGTAATGTTCCGCATTTTACAACATTTCGCAACCAAACTTTGCAATTTTATTCATTTTAGTACGCTCTTTCTAGCTGTGGTGATTTATTTGCATTTCCTTGCCTAATTAATTAGTCCGACTATAATGGGGATTGTTTATTAGCCCATTGGAAAATTTATGCGTGATACATGCCGCCAATTCGATCTCCAAGTGAACTCTAGTTGACTAGTTCACGTTTTTTAAAACACAGTACCTTTGCTACGGTGGTTTCGAAAACGAAGACCTACGAAAACGAAGACCGAAGACCTAAGATGGGTCTTCGTTATTACGAAAACGAAGACCCACTACGAAAACGAAGGCCCATCTTTGTTTTCGTACTACGAAAACGAAGACCCTAGAATATTTATTTACATTGTTTTCGCGCCCACTACGAAAACGAAGACCCATCTTTGTTTTCGTACTACGAAAACGAAGACCCTAAAATATTCATTTACATTGTTTTTGCGAAAATAAGCGTAAAAGTGTCGCGAAAATTTCGGATAAATTCTGGCAAAACGTAAGGTAAAAACAATTCAGCAATAAATAGAAACCTATATAAGTAAATCAGTAAACCACCACCCATGCCATGCATTTCAGTTAAAGTCGAAGGCAAACATTAGACTAGTAAGAAATAAATAACTTTAAAATATAAAATGTTAACAACAGAATCACAATTGTAAAATGTACAATGTTAACAAAACTTTAACAATATTCCACATGTACCTGTATAAATGCATGTGCTGTACCATTGTCAATGTCTCAATGTCTGGGCAAATCAGTTTGAATCCGGTAATATCACGGTTAATAGAACCACAGAGTAAGTACACACAGAGGTCTCACTTCAGATTAATTTAGCGTAAGGGATTTTTCAGTCCGCCATGTTCTTAGCAAGCATTGTTAGCATGCAAGTGCCCTAACGAGAAGCAGTCACGTACGTAAAAAATATTGAAATTTAATCTTCCAGGAGAATGAATGCCTCTCTTTAGGGCACTTGCTATTTGCTAAAAACATAGCCGACAGCTATTTTGGTAAAAACTACCTTACGCCATTCCCTCACAAGTGAGACCTCTGTATGTAAGTATACTCTGTGATAGAACTAAGAGGTAATAACTTATGAACATTAAATTATATATTATTTAATAAATTAATTAATTTCGCGACACTTTTACGCTTATTTTCGCAAAAACAATGTAAATGAATATTTTAGGGTCTTCGTTTTCGTAGTACGAAAACAAAGATGGGTCTTCGTTTTCGTAGTGGGCGCGAAAACAATGTAAATAAATATTTTAGGGTCTTCGTTTTCGTAGTACGAAAACAAAGATGGGTCTTCGTTTTCGTAGTAACGAAGACCCATCTTAGGTCTTCGGTCTTCGTTTTCGTAGGTCTTCGTTTTCGAAACCACCCCTTTGCTACAGCCTTACTTTCTCCTGGCTGTTCAGTTGTTGCGTGAAAGCCTTCCCGGGCATGTTTATTGCTTTCATCACGCCACTTCTGTTTATGCTGTGGGCAAGGACCATTAGAAAAGTGATGGGGGGGGGGGGGGAAACAAAAATAAAAATCGAGCCGGGGAAACAGAAAGAAAAAAACATTCGTAAACCAAAAAAGTTTGAAAACAAAAATTCGTGCAGAGACTTTTCAATAGAAAAAATTATAAGTTGAAACAAAAAACAATTCGTGCAAGGGATTATATTTTAAAAAATTATCGACACAAGCAAAAAATTAAAAAAAAATATTCGTACAAGTTGAAAAAGTCCCCCCCCCCACATCACTTTTCTAATGGTCCGTCCCTTAAAGTACCCCTTGAGTCATACGTTTATATCAGCTCAAGTATACATGGCAATAATAATTATTGGAGTACCAGTCAGGTACGACTAAAAATATAATTTACTATATGGCATTGTGTTTCCTCGACGTGCGCGTGATCCGCGCAGTGTGTGAGTTTGCCTGTCTGTCAGCGTGATAAAAATATCAAACGTATTAGGGGGGACCATTAGAAATCCTGGGAGGGGGGGGGGTATAACATTTTTGCGGCACGATGTTTTTTTCAGTCTTATGTCTCTGCAGGATTTTTTTATGCATTTAACCTCTGCAAGAATTTTTTTTCAAGACTATTTGCACTTTGCTACGATTTTTTTTTCTCTGACGTAATGGCTGCGCGAATTTTTTTCTAGGCATTTTTCTTTGCACGAATTTTTTTGGGGGAATTTTTACCCCCCTCTCCCGGGATTTCTAATGGTCCGCCCCTTAATACAAGAAGTTGTAGAACTAATGGACATTGCCCAAGGACAAATTGAATAAATTTTGGATAAATTTGGATAAAAATTGATGAGATATAAGCAAAGGTCAGCAAAGCCAAAGGTTCAGGATAACCTGAATGCGTAATTGACAATTCCCATTATAGACTAATTTTTTATCTTGGCAAAAAAAGTATATTTTCGGAAAGAACATACTAAAATGAGTAAAATTGCAAAGTTTGGTTGCGAAATGTTGTAAAATGCGGAAAATATAGCCTTGCACAAATTAAGTTCGCAAATTTTGGATACTTTAGTATTGCGTGCGGAAATTGGAAATTGCTAGTAATGGTAGTAATTTTCCGCATTTTACAACATTTCGCAACCAAACTTTGCAATTTTATTAATTTTAGTACGCTCTTTCTAGCTATGGTGATTTATTTGCATTTCCTTGCCTAATTAATTAGTCTATAATGGGGATTATTAGCCCATTGGAAAATTTATGCGTGATCAACATGACTTAATTCGATCTCCAAGTGAACTCTGTAGAGTATAGTTGACGTTTAGTTGACGTTTTTTAAAACACAGTACCTTTGCTACAGTTACTTTCGCCTTCCCGGCCATGTTTATGGCTTTTGTCATCACGCCACTTCTGTTTATGCTGTGGGCAAGGCCAAGATAAGAGGATTAACACAGACACTTCGCTCTTTTGTCATCGGCCACACAAGAGCACAGACCATAGGACTTTCAAGACTCCGAGCAATCTAAAAATACAAGATAATTTAGGACACCTGAAACTTGAAGTGTTTGTTTGTCAAGGACTTGAATCTTTAAAACAAAGTTGCCTTGTTTAAAGCGGCCAAAAATGGAGCACCCCTTAAATTAATCCTCTTTATAACTTAGAAGTGAAGTGTACGTATAGTTTTCGACTTTCAAGTTGTATTCTTGACTCGCAATACCATGTTGGTGGTATTTTAACAAAAGAATCTCGGATTATCTTTCATTGAATTTGGCACCATTAGCATGGCCGCAAGAATATAATAGACACGGACAGAAAATTTTCCGAAAATATCATCGTTCAAAGTTGAAAATTTTCAACTTCAAAATTTTTTTCCGACGGAAAATTTGTGTCGGCCAATCACATTTTACAAAATTTTCTTTCCTCGGAAATTTTTCCTGAGTGGAAATGGATCTTAAAGGCCGTTTTCCACTAGGCGGAATTTTCCGCGCGAAACGAAATTTTTCTTTGTCTTGTGATTACTCGGGTTGAACTAATTAGAAAGGACAAAGAGAAATTCCGCTCCGCGCGCAAAATTCCGCCCAGTATCTTTATGTATTTATTCAGTATGCGGAATTTTCCGCGCGGAGCGGAATTTCTCTTTGTCTTGTGATTTCTCGGGTGGAACTAATTAGAAAAGACAAAAAGAAATTCCGCTCCGCGCGGAAAATTCCGCCTAGTGGAAAACGGCCTTAAGCCGGTTTTCCATTAGGCGGAATTTTGCGCGCGGAGCGGAATTTTTCTTTGTCTTGTGATTTCTCGGGTGGAACTAATTAGAAAAGACAACGAAAATTTCCGCTGCGCGCGCAAACTTGCGCCTAGTGGAAAACCGGCTTAAACGTTGTATCCAGAATGCCAACGTTGCTGAGGACACCCCTGGGAGGCTGGGACCACAAATTATTCAAACTTTTGGTTTTGCATGAAGAGTTTTTTCGAAGGCGCGTCTTTCAGTTCGCGTCGTGTTTTCTAAATCAGTCTAATATTGTCTTGAACAGTCGGTGCCATTGTAGCTAAACGATAACAAGAAACTGGGTTTGGATTGGGAGAAATACATCTACCGGAAAAATACAAGCAAAGATAGATATATTTTTATATATTTATATATTTTTATTATATATTTGAGATATTTTTTGATATATTTATATATCTTCCTATACATAGTAATATTGCCATTGTCATTCACTGTTCACGAATTACTAAAATTCCGCCTAGTGAAAAATCGGCTTTTTAGAGGTTAATTATATTTTTGTTACAAAATATCATTCATGTTTTTTTAATATCATTCATTAATTGTAAAAAACAAATTTGTTCGAATTATCAGAAACAGAATGAATCCAAGACTATTTAATAGACTATACCTATTTATGGACTGCTTTCACACTGTTGAAGAATATATGCGAATATGTGGACAACACCTGAATCTTTATCTCAGCAATTTGTGAGGAAAGGCGACATCAGTGGACGTTGTCGTTGTACTAGGAACTCAAGTTCTTCGAACATCCCCTTTTTCATGCACTGAGTGCAACTGCATGGTCTATACGGACATTTTATTATCGCGCTGTCTCCTTAGTTATGGAACGAACCTCCAGTGAACATTAAACTGATTAAAGGCCCATTTAAGGTCCATACAGACCGGACGCAATTTGGCAACGCGACGCGAATTTTCAGTTTTCAATGACATTTAACTTTAATATTTTTCAATGTTTTTAAAATATTCGGATGGCCTGCATATCTTGTGAAATTTTTATCCGTTGACTGGGCCTTTACACAACACCGCGGAAAAACGTCTGCGCATGCGTCAACCTTACCTGTAATAGTATTGCGAACTTGATGAGAAGCTGTTCCGAACGTTTCCGAAGGCTCAAAATGGCGGTAAAAAGGAGTGACTTCATTGTGCGTCTTTACAGCCAGATTTCGAGCGCAAAAATAAACATGTCATTCTAAAAACTAGGAATAAATACAGCCAGAAGGTTCAAGAAATTGTATTGTACAAGAACATGAACTAAAGGTGATTGTTGACAAATTTATCGTCTGAAACATTTTGTTTATCAACTAAGCAACGATAATTTCCGATTTTTCGTTTGAGATACATTTCTTTAAAAAAAACTGTGTCGCCAAATATAGAAAATTTTCGTGTTCACAATAATTAAACTTTAGGATTTATTCTACAATTTCAGTGGGTTAAGAAGCTTAACTTTTCGAAAGTTTTCTTAACTTTTGAGTTTGAAATTTTGTTTTGAATAATTTTGCAAAAATTTTCGAAGTCGTGTCCGTTAAAATCAACAGTTTTTTTACATGAATTATATTTCATTCCATACTTTAAATGCCAGGACGCTTTCAATTAATGTCTAGTCTACCCATTTGCTATATTTTCTCGTTTGTTTTACTAATTTTTGACCAATTAATAAGCATGTTTTTGTTTTAGAAATTGATATTCAAATTCCCCGCCATATTTTCATAATTTGGTGCATGCGCAGACGTTTTTCAGCGGGGTTCGTTCACATACATCAGAAGAAGAACATCGCATTACAAATCGCAGCGAAAATTGCAAGTGTAAACGGGCCTCAAATGTAGATTATCAGTTATATTTTTTAAACATAAATTACGTAAATATCTTTTAGAAACTAGTATGCATGGTAGCATTTAGCTTTTGACAATTTTTAAATCCATATATTATTAAATCCATATATTAGTAATTAATGGACCATTCCCCAATTAATCAAAATTTTGATCTCAACAAGTCTAGACAAAATTCCATCATAGAAAGAGCATCACAAAATTAGCAATATTCCAAAGTTTCGTTGCGAAATGTTGTATTAAAATGCGGATAATATAGCCTTGCGAAATTTGCAATTTTCAGTCGTTTTAGATTACAAACGGGAAATGGTTACCACTTTTCCAAAATTTTGATCTTAACTAGCCTAAACAAAAATTTCATCACAGCTTGAAAGAGCATCACAAAATTAGTAATATTCCAAAGTTTCGTTGCAAAATGTTGTAAAATGCGGATAATACTGATAGCTTTGCGAAGTTTGTAATTTTCAGTCATTCTGTATTACGCACAGAAGTGGTAACCATTTCCCGTTTGTAATCTAAAATGACTGAAAATTGCAAACTTCGCAAGGCTATATTATCCGCATTTTACAACATTTTGCAACGAAACTTTGGAATATTACTAATTTTGTGATGCTCTTTCAAGCTGTGATGAAATTTTTGTCTAGACTTGTTGAGTTCAAAATTTTGTTTAATTAATTGGGGATTGGTCCATTAGTTAGAGTTTCATGTTAGTACAGCTTATAACTTTTTGTGTATGTTAATTGGCATCGAAAAGCCGCGTTGGGGAGAGTTCATGATATTAAATTATTGTATTATTGTATAATGTGCTTCTTCAGGGGCAATCAGGGCCGTGCAGAGATTCTTGTTTGAGATCCCATGCAGTTTTCAATTTGAAATATTAGAAGACATTTTAATAAGATTAGTTATCCTGCTGACTTGCGTTTATAGAAAGCACCTCGTATATTTTTTTAGCAAAGCTTTCGGATCATCGCTACAGTGCGAATATTATGATAAACAAAATGATCTGGTGTTAAAACATTCGGTTACACGAGGCAATTTTTCGGCTGAAACTTGCAATGTAATTTCTGACAGAGAAACGACGTCATCTAAAAGGCAGACGCTGAGAAACGCAGTTTAACTTTGCCGACATTTTTAATCCCATTTATTTCATTTTTCACCATGCATATTTTAAACGTTTTACTGTGGGCGGCCAAAAGCAAGGTTAATAAGGACACAGTGTGGGCTTCCCCAGTCGGCCCAGAGTAAGACTTCTCATTTCTTACCGTTACGTGACACTTGCTACTGGCTTGACCAAAAATTATTAGTTTTGAAAAGTACGTGCCGCGGACATATTATGGTTTTGAAAATGTTTTGGGCGTAACGTAACTTCTAGAATTCTATATCATGACTTGAGAAAGTAATGCTTGACACTTGATAGAAATATATCTGCCTATCATGAGGCAAAAAAAATATTTTAATTTAAAAAAAAAAATTAAAAAAAATGTATATATGCAGTTGGAATGCACTTTATGTGAGTTTCAAAATTTTCGGATGGCATGCTCTATACCCGACCCCAAATTTCAGATCTTTTTCAGATAGTTCAAATTTCAGATCTTTTCCAGATAAAGCAGACCTTGATGTAGAATACTACCTACAACTGAGGTAGCACAGAACAATTTTAGAATGTCCTCTATATGTCAACTCCACCTCGATTTCCGCTGTTCTCAGATCGGTAGGGTAAACGAAAATTGTTTGTATATTTGACCTGCGTAATGTATAAAACCCGGACTCAAAACCCGGGTTTGAACCGGACCCAATTTTGGACTGGATTCAGACCATGCGATATTGCGTTGAAATGGCAATGAAAGATTCGATGGTTTTTAAATGCGTTTCACGCTCTTTTCAAACATCAACCCCTTTAACATGAATATGACAGTTAAATAATCATTGACCTTTTGAAGGCCGAGTATTATTTTCAAATCTTGAAAAAATGGTTCAATGTGATCGAAGCCATGTGTAATGACAGCCAGCGGGCAATTTTTTTTGTATATTAATATACTTGTTGATTTCTAAATACATGTTTAAAAGGTGTTTTGTAAGTATTTCCCCTGCAAGTAATAAAATATCACGTGTATTTTTTATCTATTTTTATGGTTCATTAACCATTAAAATATTTTCAAAAACTCATTAATAATTCATGAGGAAAACACAAAGAAAAATCATGAGCGTGTCGTATCTTTATATGTGATAGAGATTTCCCTTGATTTACATAAACTTTAACTTTGATTTTCTCGACTTACACACCGTATTTTTTGAAAATTACTTCGCCAATGAACTTACTATAGATCGATCGTTTTTGAAGCAATTTAAAACATTCGCAGTGTGTGTTTTATCAGACCTATTAAAGATACGCGGCTTCGCCTCGTATATCTGATAAAACATTGCTGCTCATGTTTTAAATATTACATCTATCATTGCAAAGCAGAATTCGCCAAGCGTCGGATTGATTACATATCTGGGGCCGGTTGTATGAAAAAAGTGATTAAAGTTAACTATAGTTAGTGGAAATGTCATCCAATAAGAAGCGCGTATTTGAGAGTTAATTAATCACTATTTAACTACAAAATAGTGATTAAGAGTTTTATACAACCGGCCCCAGCATTCGTAAGTTTGATAATTTATATGATTACTCATTTGTAATTAAAAATTGGAAATTTGAATAGGTTTGCTTGATAAATGAAACAAGTTTAATGGTTTCAAATCAAACTCGCCACACAATACTATTTGTAAAATAGATTCTATTACATTAATTGATATCATACTTTCATACCATAATTTATTCCAATTTCACTGATGGCTATATAACAATTCTGTGACAACATATTACATTCAAATTCAGTATTGTTAATCAGTAACGCCAAAGGCAAAGTTTCAATTTATTATAACCGTACGGCGAATTCCTTCATGTTTCATTACGCATGATATGTTAACGAGTTTGAAGATTTTATTTGCGCATCATCAAATTCAAGATCAAATTGCTACATTTATTATCAAATAAATGCGGAAAACTGTTGATGTATCAATGCAGTTGATGACTTGAGTAAAAATTATTTTCACTCACCCAAGGACGGCTGCAAATATTTTTTTACCCAAACGTCTTCATGTATTCATGCATACATCAACAGTAGTATACCTACGTGTTAATGATCAGGAACAAAGGGGAAATATTTTTCTATGCCGACCGAATACACGATGTTCTTTAATTTAATGAAAATAAAAGCTGCAATTGTACAAGCAATGTACAATGTACAGGGGGTACATATTGATTTTGGCTGGGTGGAGGGTGTAGTCTCAAAATGAGACCGACTTATTGCTTAATTTGTGAATCCAGACCAACTCATTAGAAGTCAATCTCCAAAATGTTTTAGCCGGCCTCGCTTAGCGACCGACTGTACCAATTTAGAGGCTGACTAGAGCATCTCACTGGGGGCGAATCACCCCCCGACACACACACACCGTGTTAGGATGCTATTGTTGGACTTGTTGATGATTTGCTAAACTCACTTAAATCTGGTTCCCAGTCCAAATTCAGATCAAACCCCAGTCCCACCGTCCAGTTTTATTATGTATATCTTTCACCTGTCAGTAGCGAGTTTACTCTGTTGCTTTTTGCCCATCATCGCAGGAAACGGGTATTAAGCTCAAGATCAATGTTGACTTGACGCGTCCTCTATGTTAATTAGTTATAAAGCATTTTGCCATCTCCGGGTTCAGTTACTGTCTATCTTGAACCACGCAACAATTGCGTCGCGTGAAGTCGAAAATCGTACCGCGCAGCACCGAAAAGATGAATCGACTTGAAGGAAAATATATGGTCGTAATGCTAACGCTTGTCCTGGTTTCTAGTCTGGCCCTGGGGAAGAAACGAAATCGATGCGAGAAAATTAGGATACCGTTTTGCAAAGGACTTGGTTACAACACAACAATCTTTCCAAACAATTTGAACCATGATACTCAGGAAGAAGCGATAATAAGCGCGTCTGAATTCCATATTTTAGCCGAAAGCAAATGCTCTCCCGAGATCGCCCTATTTCTATGTTCCCTCTATGCCCCGGTATGTACTCAGATGCATAAAGCGTTACCACCGTGCAGAGCGTTGTGTAAGAATGCCCGCAGTGGATGTGAAGTGTTGATGAAAAAGTTCGGATACCACTGGCCTGAGCGGTTTGCTTGCGAGAAGTTTCCCCAGCAGGGATTGTGTGTTGGGCGGAATTCGAGCACCACAAGTCATGCAAAGAAATTGAAACCAGGTAAGTCTTCTTCATCAATTCAGCAATGAGCATTTCTAACATTTCTTAGCCTACCCCTTTTTTGTAAATTTCATGTTTTGTATTCAGTGTAGCAGTATTGGTAGTAGTATTTGGTAGTTACATTCCTCTTGCCATTTCCCAAGATGCGATTAACTTCTGATGAAGTATTAAAACGAGTACACGAGTTATGAATGTTCTGAGTATATATGTATGCTCATGTGAACATTCGTCCATCGTCCAGAATTTCAGAAGGAAATCGCACCTAAAATTTCTAATGTATACGGGCATGAAAGATGGTAAAAGGTAAACATCGGGGTCGTGTGAAGGTAATATTCTATTTCTACAAGTGGTTTCAAATTATAAGCGATACAGCTAGTCACCAGATGCTAGTCCGATCTTCGGAAAGGTTGACACTGTTCATGTAAACGAATTAAACTTCATCTCTCAAATCCGTTTTTATTGCTTTTAATGACTGTATTATTATTTTTTACTCGGGTAACTGCAGGTTAATGAACATCTGTTGTACGATAGCGTTCAGTGCAATCTATCAATGGCAATCGGCAATTGTGGTTTGTGTCGGAACTATACGTACCTAGCTACCTGTAGAACACAGCGGCGTTTTAAGTAAAGGTCCTTTCTTCGTCCGGAAATTTATTGTGGCTAGCAATTTCCAGACAAAGGCATTTTGCTTTTCGTGAATCTATTCAATTCATACACAATTTATAGTGTAGATATATAAAATGTTGGTCGCAGACATTTCAAATCAATCGGTGATTGATGTGCAATTCGAAATGTGCGTGACCTTTTATCATTTTGTGCGCTATTAGCCTGAAAATTGAACATTTCAACAGGCAAACAGCCAGACCGAATAAAACTTCTAAAATGAACAAGATTTCTTTAATTAAGGTAAATGTCATAAACGTACCATGGGGTTCAATGCAGAAGTATTATTCTACAATAAACTGTTCTGCTGAGAAAATATCTCAAACGCGAGGGTCCATTGTAGGTAGTATTCTAAATAAGATGTTGTTGTTCCATATTTGTTACCTTAAAACTCATTAATAAGATGTTGTTGTTCCATATTTGTTACCTTAAAACTCATTAATAATTTATGAAGAAAATTCAAACGAAACGAACGTTTAATCAATATCTGTAAACTGGATTAAGAGTTTGTCCTCGTTTACATAAACTTGAGCTCCGATTTTCTCAGAAAAAAACGAACCATATCGCCAAAATAATTGGTAAAGTTGATTACTTAGATGTATTCGTATTTTAGGTAATATATAAAGCAAGAGCAGCTAATCTTTACTTGATGTATTGATTTTAAAAGGCTCGCCGAGGGGTTCGCCTTGCAAATCAGATAGCGAATGGCACTCCCTTAGGAAGTCAGACATCTATAGTGGTTATCAATTTCAAAAACGACTTTTCATTCGGAACGTCGAAGTTAATCTTCTCAGGTATATAGATCAGAACACAGAATAGTTTAATCCTCTTCAATTCCTCTCCTGCATTTGGCTGTGATGATTTCAACTTTTATAGGATTATCGTCTATAGATATATTCTAGGATATATTTGATATAATCCTTATTAATAAGGGTAATCCTTTTTAAACAGGCCTTAAATAGACACTTTCCGAATTTGCTTGGGAAAAAGAAGGCGCGGAAGGGAAAGTATTCAAAGGGAGAGCTATTATGTTTTTCACTGCATCAAAACTATGATATAGAGGGCAAAGGTCAATTTGAATATTTCCCATTATACACCTAATATAGTAATACCACTACAACGTAATCCTCGATATAACCCTCAAAGATATGAAAGATGTTTTCATATTACATAATTTCATTCCGACACTGCTAAGCACAAACAAAATTGGTCTTCTTGAGCCTTTAAGGGGGATTTAACTTCGAATCTTCAGGTTTCTAGACTTGAAATCCTTTCCAGTCTCATTTCCCATGATAATTTTAAAGTTATAGGATTAAAATAGGAAAGTCAATAGACGCCTTGTGGCTATTAATTAACAGCAAATTTCATTCATGTTTACATGTAAATTGCCTGCGGCCAAAACTAACAACAAATCTTATCGACATGACTACATTCATCATATTGTGATAAAGATGTCATCTTGATTCTGGCTTCGTGTGCAATTTGGATAAAACATGTACCTGCATGTGCCTGATGTTTATGAAATTCGACTTACTATTGCGATCAAATAAGTCAGAACCTAGGTTCAAAAATGCGGAATTATACCCGGTTCAAATTATACCCGGTTCAAACCAGTTTGCATGAGCTCATTTGCATTGGATATATGATATACAAAATCACGAGCCGAAGGTCAATTAAATTTTTATTTAGTGAGATTTTTATTTAGTGAGATTTTTATTTAGTGGGTTTTGTATTAGATATTTAGATATATACAAGCTTCTTCGCGGTGATGATCTCATTACATTTCTGATTCGCTCATGAATTATTTATGAAATTACATTTTTGTGTCTGATAAAACTTCTCAAAGAAACCAATATTTAAAGACCTCGATAAATTCAAACCATATATGACCGTAGGGTTCCTTAAGGTTATATAAAGGACATAAATAGTTGTTTTTTTGGCGGATAACACCAAGTTTGTTTATTTAGGAAAACGTTCGACCCATAAGACCGGATTATCACCAGTGCTAATAAACATCAGTGCATTTTTTAACACAATGAAGATCCGGGGATTGTGGATCGACAGCTTTGCTAAATAAATAAACGTAGCATGTCCCAAAAAAACAAACAATTATGAATGTTGTTTAATTAATGGTTCGTGGTGTGAAAACAATAGCGAAGTTAAGCAAGGCGTATAATCTAGTATGACTGTATGTGGCAGGAACCTTAAATTTTACACTTTTATAATTATAAAGAACTAAGCCGGACGAGGTGCAACGAGGATGGCTATTAATATAATATTAATACAAGAAAATAAACAGTTAAAGTTCCACGAAAGTTTTACTGTTTTATAGACGTCGCCGTAGCTCTGTTTACAACGGCAAAATACAGATTATCACGTCTTGTATACAACGCTTATATTTCAAGCTGGGACTACTGCTACTTTCAATTGGGTCCTAGAACTTTTTCAATTATAAACACGTTTTAACTTTCGGTTGGGTCCTAGAACTTTCTCAATTATAAACACGTTTTAACGTTGGTTAATCTGTATTCTTTTTCACACTACAAAATAGTATATCACATTGGCTACCGCTTGTCGAGCCTTGCTTTCGGGGGTTTATCGTTTATCCGCGTTTTATCCTTTTTCCGCGACCGCAATTCTAGACTTCCGTGTTCCGTATTTCCGCATCCGCGTTTTATCTTTTTTTTCAATCTTGATTTCGTGACTATTTATCTTTGTAACTTATACTACCATTATCTCAAGTGTTTTTACATTATCTGTTTTCACAGTATGTGCATTTGGGTACACAGTATGTCACCAATGACAGGATAAGCTTTTACTATATTGACCTGTGGCACTCTCCCATCCCACGGGCATTTTGCTTCTGTTTTTACGTTATCTATTTTAACAATATTATTTGACACCAATGACAAGATAAGCAAGGTTTTAACCATATTGACCTGTAGGAAGTGGCTCGAGAAATGGTACTTTCAATCCATTCCCATAGGCACTTGCTTCTGTTTTTACATTATCTATTTTAGCAGTGTGTACATGCTTCGTGATATATTATAAGTAAGAGTTATAAACCGAGTAGGAGGTTTATAACTGATATATTGACCCGAGGACGCGTAGCGTCCGAGGGGCAATATATCAGTTATAAACCGATTTATTATAAGTAATAGCATGGCTTGAGGGAGATTAGTGATTAAATGGCCCCGTAACCCGAGGCAGGTTTGCGGAATTCCCGAGGGCGAAGCCCGAGGGAATGCCGCAAACCTGCCGAGGGTAAGGGGTCATTTAATCACTAATCTCCCGAAAAGCCATGCTATTAGTTTGTAATAGCATAGTTTCGCTCCCATTTAAAATTGGACAAACATGCCCTATTTGGAATCAGCGTATTTAAGCTAAAACTTTTGCTTCATTGCTTGTGGGATGTAAAAGCTTGTTGCACATGCGCACTTTTTACGCTTTAATCGGTTACGCATGCGCAATCTATCATTTAACGTACCACAACAAACACGCTAAATATATTAGTATAAATTTGGAGACTGCACGTGCGTAATTTAAATGATGCGGCAACTCAGGGATCGGATGATAGACTATTGACGGCTCTGAGCTAACTGTTGCTGTTCCTTGCACGATTATGTGCGTGAGGCACTTGCCTAATGCGTAGTCGTCAGGGAGACAAAGGTGTGACCCTTGGTAACGGGCGATTAGTTCTAATCGCCCGCTCTAGCGGGCGATTAGAACTAATCGCCCGCTACAGCGGGCGATACGTGATTAAACGTCCCTGTTGAAATAAAAGAAACCCGGGCAACTATGCCATAGAATAAAGATCCATATAGAAGGGCCACTTACGTCGGAAGCTTTGAAGTTTCTGTCCTCGCGCATGTCGCATTACGCATGTTGGCCGCCATTTTCCTAGCCAGTCAATGACATTTTCTGGCCAATAAACACGCTGTACTGGCTGGCTGCTCCGCCTTCTGGCCAGTAAACTGCATATTTTTGCATAAAAAAACGAGGACACGTTGCACCCCTGAGTGGCCCTTCTATATGGATCTTTATTCTATGACTATGCTATTACTCGGTTTATAACTAACTTATTTTTCACCCTGCTCGGTTTCCTTTGTTCTTGTCGGGAAATATATTCAATATTCCCCTCTAATCAATTTCCGTTTAATAATCCCCTCTAATATTCACCTGCAATTTATAATCTCCTCTAATATTCACCTGCAATGTCTTGGCAGCACAAAAAATGAGAAAAAACAACATCGCGAAGGCAATATGGCATTAAGAATTATTTCTTTTCTGACTCATTAACGCGACCTCGCAGTGTGAAAAATAAGTACGTTATTTTGAGGCAACGAGGGGATATGTGTTTATTCACCTCGGCGCTGCGCACCTCGGTGAATGAATCACATATCCCCTCGTTGCCTCAAAATAACCTATACTTATATCACACTTGCGGAGGTTTTCCAACATATTTTGTCATTTTCAAAAATTTTTAATGAAAAATTCTCGGATATAAATAAATTATATCGGATATATATAATTATAAACATAAATATCAAAGTTAGTTATAAACCGAGTAAGTCGGTTTATAACTCTTACATATTATATGTCACCAATGACAAGATAAGCAAGCTTTTACCATATAGACCTTTCTCCTTTCGAGTGAAATTTTGATCTAAACAAATCTGGACAAAAATTTCATCACAGCTTGAAAGAGCATCACAAAATTAGTAATATTCCGAAGTTTCGTTGCGAAATGTTGTAAAATGCGGATAATATAGCCTTGCGAAGTTTGTCGTTTTTCAGTCATTTTGCATTACAAACGGGAAATTGATAATCAATTTGATCATCTGATTATCAATTTCCATTTGTAATACAAAATGACTGAAACATGGCAAACTTCGCAAGGCTATATTAACCGCATTTTACAACATTTTGCAACGAAACTTCGGAATATTACTAATGTTGTGATGCTCTTTCAAGCTGCGATGAAATTTTTGTCCAGGCATATCTAGATCGAAATTTCACTCATACGGGGAAAGGTCTATTAACCTGTGGGAAATGGCACTTCCAATCCCATGGGCATTTTGCTTCTGTGTGAAAACTATACACAAAAATGCATGGTCATGGAGACCATCTTTATACGGACATAATTCTCACTTATAATTCATGAAGATAATTGAAAAGAAATCAAGGTAAAAATGAGCTATTGTATGCACATACAGGTGTATAAAAACTAGGGATCCAAGGATAGTGCAGAGTTTCAAAGACGAACGCTATATTGACATACTTATTAATTGAATAGTTTTTTCAAGCGTGGTTTATAGCTTTAATCACATGTCGATATGGTTTAAATCTAATACTTTAAGATTAAAGAATGACGAGATTTATGTAATATTATTTATTTCCTCATATAATATTAGTCACAAGGCATAATTTCTGTTATAATGTTGTAAAGTTTCCAATTGAAAACGACACTATATAGGGTCGCCGGCAACCTAGGTGACTTTTTAAATCTGTGATTATTCCCACCATCCTTTTAGCGCCCATTTGGCTATCGTCTCAGTGACAACTTGAGAAAATAGCTGTATAAGATATGTTATGAATAATAAGCACTACGACGTTGTATTCCATTACAAAAAAGGAACACAAATCTAAAACACAGAAACGTAAATAAGAGGCGAAAACTCATTAAAATGACGCATTTCATCCGCATTTTATCCCCATATCCGTTCCGTGAATCCGCATCCGCTTTCCGCATTTTAATCTAATTATGACGTGTTTTCACAATAACAAGTCTCATTGACCTTTAATATATTTCGAAGGTCACGTTGTTGTTTCATGAGTCATTTTCAGCTTTTCGCATGTATTCAATAATGTAACTTTAGATTTCAATAGTTTCACAGTTATTGCAGTGTTTATATAGCAGTTTTGACAAGCTTTGATACAGATAGATTCTCGTAAGATCTGGTAGAGTTTTCGTTGCACTGAACACGAGTTTGCACCGTTGTGCTATACACGTAAACAAAGATTTTCTCAATATTTATGTCTGAAATGTTTATACATTTGAAAACACGGTCTCGCTGCTTCCTAGCTTTGTATAATGAATATACCGTCGGGACTTAATTGAATGCCCGTAATGCAAAACATCAATTTATATATTGCGTAGAATCTCAAAGATTTTCTCAATATTCATGCCTGAAATGTTCATACATTTCAAAAGACAAAACAACACTGTCTCGCTGCTTCCTAGCTTTGTATATTGAAATTGAATATACCGTCAAAATAATATCGGTACTTAATTGAATGCCCATAATGCATAAGTCATAACATCAATTTATATATTGCGTAGATTCTCAAAGATTTACTCGATATTCACGTCTATAAAAATGTTTATAATTTGAAAACAACACTGTTCGGCAGTGTCGCTCCTTCCTAGCATCGTCATTCGTCACGCCATCGTGATCTACAGCTTGATAGCACATGCGCATTTGCGCTGCTAAAGAAAAAATGGGTGTTCCGGGGGAAAGATCTTTCACACAACACGAAGAAGCAAATGTTATAAAATTGACAAAAATTTGCAATAACAACGATTCCTGGAAATTTTTGTGAACTTGGCAAAAGGACAAAATAAGTATTTAAATAAGACAACTGAAATTGCCTAAATAACCTTCAAAGCACTGACTAAGTAGAATAAATTACCACGACGATAAATCGTATACACCCCCCGGAAAGTTTACTCTATGATATCTGATGTATGACAGATGTGAATTTTCGCCACTCATCACAATAGTGCACAGTTTCAAAGAAACTCTGCACTAAAAAAGGAGACCTTTAGAAATCAAGTATATTGTTAAAATTTGAATGCCTTTTCAATTGCACATATGCTGAACCGTTTGCGTGAAATATTGATGGATGCATATATTAGAAAAAAGAGACCTTTAGAATTTGAAATAACGTTTAAACAAATCTGCCATGCGCTTAGCCTGGGAACAATCTGCCATGCGCTTAGCAAAGTGCTCCAGGACTCAAATTATAACAATGGTTGATTTCTAAAGGTCTCCTTTTTCTAATATATGCACTCCATCAATATTTCACGCACCACAGTTCAGCATATGTGCAATTGAAATGGCATTCAAATTTTAACAATATGCTTGATTTCTAAAGGTCTCCTTTTTTTTTATACACCCTGTATATACTCTCAGTTAAAAATCACTACTTTTCGAATAATTTCTTAAAACAAAACACAGTTGAAATCCTTACGTTTCACAGGATATATACACAGCATTCGCATCCGTGCTGTATAAAAGCCCATTTCCACTCCAGAAAAATTTCCGCGGTGAAAATAATTTCCCGAAAATATCAATGACATTGTTAAAAGTTGAAAATAATTTTCAATATGAAAATTTTTTTCCGACGGAAAATTTGTGACGGCCAATCACGTTTTACAAAATTTTCTTTCTGCGAAAAATTTTCCTGAGTGGAAATATGGGCCTTGAGACATTGCGATGAAACTGATTAATAGAGATTTTAAGATTCGCGTTATACGTCAAACGGAAAACGGTAGGCAAAGAAAAATTTTACGGTATCAGGCAATGAAGAGTAAATGAACTCGCTGTTTTTAAACTGCAATGCATGATTATTCTTTTGGCACAAGAAAGAAAATATGAAACGAAAACGTTCAACGAAAATTTTGCCAAGAAAGTTCTTATCTGCCGTTTGCCGTTCCCGGAAACGTATTCCCTAATAATTCATGAAGAAAACGCAAAAGACATTATGACCGTGAATGAGTTTGTATATCTGATATTTATCTGATACAAAATCATGTTGATTTACATAAACTTTAAGTCCAATTTTCTCACCAATTATGTAATTCATTTACTTTAAATTGTTGAAGAATACGATTGTTCCTCATTCCTTCTTTTCATCAGCTAGTCAACTATAAAATGGTCAAGTGGGGTAAAACTCTTCAACCCATATAAAATTAGCGACGGTCTTTGGATGTATAAGATATCCCTATTGTAGTATTGACTTTCTAGCAATTGCCGATTGATCTGGAATTAGAAGATGCCATTTTGGACAATCGTTCTGATCATAGACATAGTCTATATCAAAATATGATCGTCTGAAAACGAAACAGAAGTGTTTGTTATATGTTTTTGTCTGAATTTATGTTAATTTGTCACGATGATTGAGCTCATTGTATTTTCGTATAATTAAGTAACCGTCCAATAAGGATAGGTGAGATGAAACGTGCAGCCACGATGGATAGTATTTCAGTAATGAAGTTCAGGAAAATTATTTGTGCATGGTGAGATAGAGTTCAACATCAAACAAAGCTCTTCTATTTTTGTGGCTTTGAAGTTTGCCGGGATTCCAGACCATCATATCTTAATAGACTATGGTCTGACTTTACATGCATTTAGACCCGTTTTCAAACGTCGACCTTTCGCGTGCCGCATTTTATGCTAATGAGCTCAAACAAAAATTTTATATCAGTTACAATCTCGAATGGCCGGTGCAAGTGTGGGTGGAGTCGATATAAACAGATAGCTGTGGTGCGAACGATATATACAACAACCTGAAAAATGTAATGAGAACTTCGACATTTCGAGCGAAGGCAACAAAATGGCTGCAACTTGCTACAAAATCTGATTTCTACGCATGTTAATTGAAAATGTTTACACATACATTACAAATCACGAGGCAACATGTGTCAACATTTCTACTTAACATGCGTTGAAATCAGATTTTGTTGCAAGTTGCAGCAATTTTGTTGCTCGTATTACTCCAGCTTAATTAGAGTAACGGGAAAATTACATGTGCTTTTTTTAGCTCAGTTACATTAGATTCGACAAATACGTGATAAGGTCGACATTTGAAACGGGTGTAAGAATTGAAAAATTAATTATGATGAGCTCTGTGAATGGATCGCGCACGCTTCTCCGCAATTTTCGCTGTCATTACCTCGTAATTAGGTGGAACGTGGAGGTATCTTTGAACTAAATGTTTCAATTTAAACAGCTATTCGTCAAACATTCCCAATACAATTTAAAACAGGCAGCTCAATAAAGATAGTCTTAGATAGTAATCTATACCAGACTTGTTGTCTATAAATACGGTCTAATAAAATGGGTTATATAGTGTGCGACTTGTTTCCAATATGATTTGTTTCCTTGCGCTGGTATTGTTCTGATTGGCAAGTGTATTGTTTATATTGAATGAATGCTTCCGAATGTCCGGTGCGTATTCCGTTTTCATGCGGCTAAAATAATCAGAAATAATTATTTCCTCTGGATTAAGGCCAAAGCCCTAGTTTTCCTTCAGACAAGTTTACCTTCTCGTGTGTACGGTCAACAAGCTTTCCTTGACAACTTTCCCTTGTCCTTGACAAGTCTCGTTGCTCATTTCAGGGTTCGTACGGGTCCTGGAAAACCTGGAAAGTCATGGAATTTCAATATTCCAAAATCCAGGCCTGGAAAATCAATTTTAGTCATGGAAAGTCATGGAAAATTGAAATTTTACATAACATTAACAAAGTATACCTGTGATGTTACTCTGAGTGTATATCCACACCAGGCAAGCTTGAAAAATATGCCTGACCACGGTGGGAATCGAACCTACGACCTTTGGAATACTAGCCCAATGCTCTGCCAACTGAGCTACGCGGTCTGGTCGGTTCGAGTATGTGATATTTCGGAACAGAATCTAGTTCCTTCGATTCCCACCGAGGTCAGGCATATTTTTCAAGCTTTTGCCTGGTGTGGATATACACTCAGAGTAACAACACAGGCATCCATATTCACCTGAGTACATTACACCAACACAGAAAAATCATGATTAACAAAGTATTTTACTTATTTCAATTTACCAGTCATAACAATAATATGAATTGTTGTTATATAAACAGATTTTTACAAGAACGAAGTGAATTTTGTTCTAGTTTATTATATCTGTTATCGTTAATTAAAATATTAACGAATTTCAGAAATTCCAGACTTACAGGTCATGGATTTTGAAACAAATGGTCATGGAAGTCATGCAAAAGTCCAAAGGGAGAAGGTGTACGAACCCTGTCATTTGTATCACGTCAAGGTATTTCAGTTTTGTCTGCCAAAACCACATTGAAGTATTTCTTGTACCCCTCTCAAGTTTTCCTTGGGCTTGGCAGCCGTACACGTGAACAAATTTTCTTTGTCCAAAAGCCGGCATGATTAGCTTTGGAATTACAAGGCTCCTTCTTGGCAAGGAAAATTGCCAATTTTTCCTGTACTGACATGCACGTACCTTGACAGGTGTATTAGCCGCAAATGTAAAAAAATAACAATTACAGTTTTTAAATAACAATGTTTGATGTACTATTTAAAACACGAGTATAGGATATCTGGTAACCTGAAGTTCAGGCCCTAATCACAGAATAGGTTCGATATCTGGTAAAGCACGAACTGCGAGTGCTTTAAATGGCTTAAAAACGATCCATCTTTAAAAATAAACATTGTCTAAGTCAAGAAAATCAAAGCTAAAGTTTATGTAAATAGACCTTTCCCTTTATGAGTGAAATTTTGATCCAAATATGCCTGGACGAAAGTTTCATCACAGCTTGAAAGAGCATCATAAAATTAGTAATATTCCGAAGTTTCGTTGCGAAATGTTGTAAAATGCGGATAATATAGCCTTGCGAAGTTTGCCGTTTTTCAGTCATTTTGTATTACAAATGAAATTGATAATCAGATGATCAAACTTGATTATCAATTTCCCGTTTGTAATGCAAAATGACTGAAAAACGGCAAACTTCGCAAGGCTATATTATCCGCATTTTACAACATTTCGCAACGAAACTTCGGAATATTACTAATTTTGTGATGCTCTTTAAAGCTGTGATGAAATTTTTGTCCAGACTTGTTTAGATCAAAATTTCACTCAAAAGGGGAAAGGTCTATGAACAGGATTTTTTTTATCACATATAAACCACCGACACGGCAGTGACTTTCTTTGTCTTTTCCTCATGAATTATTTGAGGATTTTTCAGCATCTCACTCGAGTCTCGATTGGATTATAAATTTTGAAGGATTTTGCATGCAGACGGCAAGTTTCAAGTGCACATTTCACACATCTATATTATACCCAAACCAGGAGCAGCTGCAAAAAATGTAACTATTGTAGTATAGAGGCTTTCCGTCTGCAGAATCCTTCAACATTTAAATAACAAGACCACTTAGTCTTTATTGCCTTAAAGTGTAATTATTTCGGCGCTTGTCGTTTGACGCACGCCGCGGAACGCGATGCTTGAATTATCTTTTATTTCATTTGAAATCCGATTTATAGAAAAGTAGTGAATTCAATTAGGTTTATGACTTTACGTCGAATAGTTTGTTTCTAGATGCTTTTGCGCGGAAAAGATTATATTTAGGGGTAGACCATTATGTTTCCTGGGAAGAGCTTGGCAGATCCAAAAAAAATCATGCAAAGAGTAGAATTCGTGCAAGCATTTAGGAAAAGAAAAAAAATTCTGCAGCCAAAGCCAACAAGATACTGGCCCTTGGATCTGTATTAGAGTTTATTATATTTAAAGGGGCAATGTCACCGATTTTTGAGCAATTCTAACTCTAGCAAATTTTGCCCAAAACTGAAAAAGAATGAGTGTAAGCACAAAATAAGCAATAACAGACACAAAAAAACATGGACAGAAGTCTGGATGGGCAAGATTACGCCAGGATTGAGATGGATTGTAAATCATAACTTAATCCATTTACAATGTTTATTTTTAACTTTGTAGTTCAGTTTTTGAATAAACGGCATTTTAGGTCAAAAATCGGTGACATTGCCCCTTTAACCTATTTAGATACAGGTTTATTAGCAGAGCCATGGCTCGCTTCGCCACTGAAAATTCCCTTCCCAGATATCTAACGGTCCACCACCCTCTGGCAGGAATCTACGGCCCTAGAAAGTTCCATTTACAAATCCCTCCAAATCGCTCGTTTGCAATCGACGCCAACTTGGTTGATTTTCGTGGCAACTAAAAATCTATATTCTTCATTCTTTGTCGTATTGTGCCAGAAATCGTAAACTATCCATAATACAGTAAGACGTTTTCAAAACAAACCAAAAATATTAAAGTAACTCAACTATTTCGATGCAAACGGCTGGACAAAACTTTAAAATCAACCAAGATGGCGCCTAATGACACGTAGTGACGTCATGTGCAAGCAAAGAATACGATAACTGCTAATAGACCTTTCCCCTTATGAGTGAAATTTTGATCTAGATATGCCTGGACAGTTTCGTTGCGAAATGTTGTAAAATGCGGATAATATAGCCTTGCGAAGTTTGCCGTTTTTCAGTCATTTTGCATTAATAATCAGATGATCAAACTGATTATCAATTTCCCATTTGTAATACAAAATGACTGAAAAACGGCAAACTTCGCAAGGCTGTATTATCCGCATTTTACAACATTCCGCAACGAAACTTCGGAATATTACTAATTTTGTGATGCTCTTTCAAGCTGTGATGAAATTTTTGTCCAGACTTGTCTAGATCAAAATTTCACTCAAAAGGGGAAAGGTCTATGAGCGTCCCTCCAACATGGCCGTCGTGACGTCAGTGCAAGCCACAAAAATACGTACTTCATTATAATTTGACTGGAAATGCCTCTAATTAATTAATTAATTAATTCCACTTCTGGTGAAGAACATATTGGATATTATTAGTCTATAATCTGGATAATCTTGAGTTGAACGTGCCAAAAATTAATAGAATTTATAGAAGAAGTCATTTCCTCACCAGACATTTTAAGTATATAGGCTATAGCTACCATTATCAGGCCTTTGAAAAATCTTGAATTTGGAATCTGATTAACACTTGGGCAACCATATATAATTCAAATAGACGAATGGACTAAATTTAGAGAAAAAAGCATTTCCTCCTGGTAATATAATCATGGTATAATAATGGTATTATACTTATTATCGCTATCCATTATATGGGTTTAAAAAACCCCAGTTTCTATCTCGTCGGGTATATCCATACAATTTCGTCGTCAAATTTTTAAAAATCCGGCAATATAACAGAGTTTAGAAAAATCTTGAGTTTGGAATCTGATTAACAATTGGGCAACCATATATAATTCACTCAACCATATACAACATTTCCTCCTGGTAATATAATGGTAGAATAATGGTATTATATTTAGGCTATTATCACTATCATTATGGATTTAAAAATCTTATAGCTATCATTGTGAGGCTTTAGAAAAATCTTTGAATTTGGTATCTGATTAACAACCATATATAATTCATACACAAGAATTGATTAAATTTAGAAAAAAAAACTCCAACATTTCTCGTCGTAATATAATAGTAGAATAATGGTATTATCACTATCATTATATGGGTTTAAAAATCTTATAGCTATCATTATCAGGCTTTAGAAAATTTTGAATTTGGAATCTAATTAACAAGGCAACCATACAGAAGAATAAATTAAATTTAGAAAAAAAAAACATTTCCTCCTGCTAACATAATACTAGAATGGTATTACAGTTATATTATCACTATTAATATTATTATGTGGGTTTATCACTTTAAAATGAAAATAATATAATCTATCTGTGGGAGGGACCTTTATCACGGAAATTTAATAGTCAGTTCCTTGACCTTCAAAAACATTACTTGTACTATTACGTCAAACATTAATTTACATTTGGACCACAACCAATTTTCAGCAAATATTCTACTTTGCTATAAGACCTTTACCCCTTACGAGTGAAATTTTGATCTACACAAGTCTGGACAAAAATTTCATCACAGCTTGAAAGAGCATCACAAAATTAGTAATATTCCGAAGTTTCGTTGCGAAATGTTGAAAAAATGCGGATAATGTAGCCTTGCAAAGTTTGCCGTTTTTCAGTCATTTTGTATTACGCGTGGGAAATTGGTAATCAGTTTGATCATCTGATTATCAATTTCCCGTTTGTAATACAAAATGACTGAAAAACAGCAAACTTCGCAAGGCTATATTATCCGCATTTTACAACATTTCGCAACGAAACTTCGGATTACTAGTAATTTTGTGATGCTCTTTCAAGCTGTGATGAAATTGTTGTCCAGACTTGTCTAGATCAAAATTTCACTCAAAAGGGGAAAGGTCTATTACCAATGAAAACGCAGGGAGGGTAGAGAGGAAAGGTCTGGTTAAAATTTCCTGAACCATTTCTCTAAGAATGTTGTGTGATAATCACATAATTATAGGTCCAATTCTATATTAACAACATTAATTAAATTAACAATATTTTCCATATCAACTTGAAAATATTTTAAAATACATCATAAATAAATCATGATTTCATAGAAGGGTCGTGGGAATTTCGCAGATGGAACATTCCGATCACTGCAACCATTAATGGCTGATTCCAGCTAACGACTAAGTTTTGATCCAAAGAAGAAGGCGAAATCTATCATTATAGCTTAAAAGAACATCATTAAATTGGTGAAATTGCCAAATATGGTTGCAAAATGTTCTAAAATAACGAAAAATATAGGCCTTTGAAATTAGAACATTTTGAGTGTTTAAATTCGGCTCAAAAGTGGTGCATTTTTCCGCGCGTGATACTAAAATACTCAAAATTTGCTAATTTCACAGGGCTATGTGTTTTCGTATTTCATAACATTTCGCGACCAAACTTTGCAATCTTACTAATTTTAGGATGCTCTTTTGAGCTATAATGATATATTTCGTCTTTCTTGTCTAGATCAAAAATTACTCGTTAGCTGGACTAATCATCCATTGACTATTACAGTCGTGCCAATAGAAGCGTTCCGAAAAATGTTGACCAGTTATTTCCTAACTTCGAGGAGTTCCTCTGAACAATTAGCCATTCCAAAGTTGATGAGAGGACTGGGGACGAGTGTTAAAAAGTGCCCAAATTAAGAAATGAACCAAATCACTAAAAAGACCACCTCAAAATTAGTAAGTATACGAAGTTTGAAGACGTTTACATGAATACCCTTCGAATAATAAGCTTTCGAAAATTGTGAAATTACTGATTAAAAGATTGGTTTATTATTCGAAGGATATTCATGTAAACGTCTTCAAACTTCGTATACTTACTAATTTTGAGGTGGTGTTTTAGTGATTTGGTTCATTTCTTAATTTGGACACTTTTTAACACTCGTCCCCAGTCCACTCATCAACTTCGGAATGGCTAATTCCTCAACAATTTGATAATTCCTTAAAAAGTTCCTAACTTCCTGTTTCATTGACCAATCAGATTGCTCAACAATAAAATATAAAATTTGATTGGTCAATGAAACAGGATGTTAGGAACTTTTTAAACAAATTTTCAAAATTTTCAGGAATTGTTCAGAGGTGTTCCTTCAAGTTAGGAAATGAACTGGTCAACACGACTGTAACCAATCAGAACCAATGCGTATACCAAGCCGATGAGAGGTAATAGTAAACCTCTCAACTAAATGTCGTACGAAGGTCCATTGCGCGGAGGGTATTAATTGTTCTTCGCAGTTTATCGGGATCCGAGAGCAGTCCGAAGAATAATTAATAACTTTTGCGGAGGAGAGAGCCATTGACATGTGTACTGACAGTGTATTTATAACGTTTTTTCACAGGCAAGAGAATGTCAGTTCACAAAATCCGTCAAAAGAAATGCGCGAAAGAGAGCAGCGAGGCGAAACTGTGCTGTAAACTTGGTCGAAGGGCGGCAAAGAAAGGTTACTACTGCAACTTGAAGAAAAAAGAGGATGACAATTCTAGGAAAGCAATCAGATTTCGTAAACAAGTGATCAGAAAATGTTCCATGCACTCCTCGTGTTTCCGCTCGTGTTGCGAGGTGTACCAGAGAAAGCGAAGAAGCAGCAAAAAACGTAACACGGAACGAGAGAATCGAAAGCAGTGAGACAAGTGGATTATCCTGAATTTGTTTCTAGTGGACTGTGACTATACGTTAAATAACATTCTTAACTTTGACTTTGAGACACAGATTTGAGAAATAGTTCTCCACAACTTTCTAAGGTAGTAGCATAGTCTATCAAGATATGATGGTCTGGGGCCGGTTGTTCAAAAGCCGGGTAGCTTAACCCTGTGTTTAACGTGAATACCAAAGCAAACTTCCCAGCTAGCTTGTTTATAAACTTGGAAATAGTTTTTCAGAAATCTTGTCTGGATCATCAGAAGTTTAGTTTCCTAAAGTTTCGAAATAAACATGTTGTATTATTTGTCATTTGTCGCGCGCCGCAAGCACTCAATTGAAAAGCAGTGTTGATATATATAGATTATATCTATATATATCAACACTGCTTTTCAATTGAGTGCTTGCGGCGCGCGACAAATGACAAAGGAATGGGGCGAGCTTAATGCAAATTGACATTTGGAAGCATTATTGGTGCATTCTACACGCCGTTTTGGGCTGCCTATGATCCGACGGTAAAATTTGGCGCGCTTGCAGGGTATCAGAGTCCGTCTCTCCCTACTTTTCTCTCATATTTTCGCGCTTTTTTTGACCGCTCGCGTGCATCGCTATTTTCAACCCCTTGAGAGACGGACTTGAACCAAGTCTAGTCATTGTGTTATGTTTTTTTTGTCGGAGTTTATGTTAATTTGTGCACGGTCACGGTGATTGAGCTCATTGTATTTTCGTATAATGAAGTAATCATCCAGTAGGGATAGCTGAAATGAAGGATTTGTGAAGTCACGGTGAGGCACAGTTCGACTGATCAAACATGAAAGTCCTTCTATTGTGTATAGTTTGAAGTTTGCCGCGCTTCCAGACCATCATATCTTCTTGACACACTGTGGCAGTAGAGAATATATATTGTTGGGTCAAGTAAGAGTTTGGTATTGCATGCTTATCGTAACATAGTATTTTGAACTTGAGTTTAATGTGTTTATCATTTCGAGATCATGCACCGAGGTTGATGGACAGCCGGAAGAATCACAACCCAATTGGGGGGGGGGGGTGCTTTAAAACGGAGGGAGAGACCAAACTCTCTTCTCGTGGGCGTATTCCTGCAGGCAAAAGTTTTTATAGCAGCACATGAATTTTTATTTTTTATTATCTATTTCCTGACCAAGTTTTTCAAGAGGGAAAAATGGCCGATCCACTTACTACTTGTATAATTTATATTACCTAATTAGCTTCCTAGAAACAGACTTAACTATATGATTAATAATGATCAAACATACATTGAACAAAGACATTATTTTTCTTATTGTCGCATACTACCACGATTCTATACCCAACTCAAAGACCTAGCTGGAATGTTTCTTTCATAGAAACTCTCTTTTCAATTGATGAGACAAAGCCAAAGGTGACAGAATGTCTTCTTTGTGGAAGTAAACTTAATTTCTAGCATAAATTAGGAATTGACCGGACTAATTTTCAATTACGCCGGCAATGATGAAACGACCGCAATTATCATATATAGGCTAATTCAGTAACCTGCGAAACAGGAAAGCAGAGACACAGAAATGAAACAGGAAATATTTACTTAATGCATTGATTATTGTATCTTAGTTTGAAAACATCAGCATTAATCTACATCATCATTAATTAATGTGTTGTGCATGGTCATCGAGACCCTGGGTCTAAATCAAGCAATCTTAATCAGTTTAGGTGCATACTAAATAGTTTGATTTTCAATTGTCTGTTATCTATAATTATTCGATTCCAGAAAACACAGTGCGTCACAAAAAGATCTGTCACCTCTCTCAACGATACCAGCCCCAAACCGTCCAGGAAATACTTCCCCAACCTTTAACCCTAGCCTTAACTTTGGCTAATCGGTTCCCACTACTCCAAGTGGCAGTTGCTTTACCATACCAGCCGCCCACAGTCGAACCATAGCGATCGTTGTATTTCAAGGAAACATAACAAGCGCCTTTCGGAACATAGTAGGAGACATATTTTGTCCTCCCATTGGTCCTGTACCGGCGACTGCTTTGAAGATAACCCGAGCCCAAATATTTACGAGTGTATGCGTCGATACTGTATGCTGTAATACAGAGCACCAAAAGCACGGCAAGGACCGACTTGTTCGCCATTTTCTTGACAGCGCACCAAATTGAAATCGATTCAGTTATTGATTCTTCAGATCTTCTGAACTGTTGAAGTTGCTGTTGTCAATTTTGAACTGCTGCCGAACCCATTCATATCGGCTTTATATAAGCTTTCTCTTTGCAGATGTTGTGAAAAACAGGATGTTTATTTGTTCTTATTATTGATTTTCCAACCAGTACAGAACTGAAACGGAACACGACGACTGCAAAATCTAGAACACGCCAGCGCAACAGAATGCGGTAAACACTTCAACTATAACATTTTGTAATCTCTCTAATAACAGCAACATTCTGGTAAAATGATTGCCAAACTGCCAGAAATCATAATTTAAAAAACTGTTATCCAAATTATAAATTTTACGTATTCAGTGGATTTTTTTAACCGTATATGTAGTTTATTATTCATGATAAGTATAACTATATGTGTGCAAATGTAAATCCGATTGACAAACATTGTCATCATTATTTGACATTATCAGACATTTCATGAATAACCCAAATTTAGCGAATAATTGCGCGAAAAGCACTATCCACCTCCCAAGTACATAAGCTAAATATAGCTAAACACCTGTTTCAGTATAGTTATTAGTTTGCAGTTTTGCAAAACAACTTGAGAGCAGGGTCAAATATTTAAATGAAAAGCGTCAATATAAATACGAAGGTCATGCAGGTGCAGGGTTTCCACTTTGATGGCAATTTCCATATTTCATAAAATTTCCATATTTCATGGAAATTTTGATGTGAAGACGGGTGAAATGGAATGAAAATTTTATTGAAATTCTATGGAAATTTCAATATTCACCACTGAATACTAAGTTAACGTATTTTCCCCCTATTTTTCTGGTAAAATGGTAGAAATAAATAAATAAAAGTACGTAACTCATAAGCTAAATATAGTTAAACACCTGTTTCAGTATAGTTATTAGTTTGCAGTTTTGCAAAACAACTTGAGAGCAGGATAAAACATTTAAATGAAAAGTTGTCAATAAATGCGAAAGTCATGCAGGTGGTCCAATTTGAATTGAATGCGGAGGTGTAAGTGAAATTTTGCCGAGTCATTCCCACTAATGCATATATATTAATTAATATTTCTACTCCCAAAGTTTTTGGCGAGCGGGGAGAAGGGGGGGGGGTGGGGGGTGAGGTACTTTCTGGATATTATATTTTCATGCTCAAAGTTGGGTTGACGTGTCATTACTTGTTTACGTTTTCCTTGAAGGCCCTGTCACACTATTGCGTATGAGTGAAACGTATGAGAAGCGTATGAAAATGAATGAAATAATTTTCATACGCACGAAATTACAAAAATCCCTTGAAATGCCAGCGTATGAGTACCGTACATCTTGCGTACCTCTAGCGTATTCAGCGTGTGCTTAGAGACTAGAGTATGCTTATCGTATAAACCCGATACGTCCGAATACGCACAAAATTTTTAAGCATGCTTAAAAAAATGTTTCTGCCTCGTAGAAACCGTGCTTGAAACGTACCCCTAGCGTAGTCAGCGTATACCAGCGTATATATGAGTGATATTTTTTATACGCTGGCATACGCTAGTACGATACGCAATAGTGTGACAGGGCCTTAATGTTTCCGTAAATTTCACCAAATTTGACCTATATTCTTTTAGTTTTTTTTCCCTTTCCTGTCCAATTCATGTTTTGCCGACTGGGAAAACAATTTGACCACTGTTATGCAATAATTTTCCGACTACCTGACGACTGGGGGTGTTCACCCCCCCCCCCCTCCCCCCCTCACACACACACACCAACCCCCTCCCAACTGACTACAAAGTCAAATGCGTAAGATTGTGTGTTAGGTTTAAATCTTTATTTATACTAGATAGCTGTATCACGCAATTCTAAACTGGTTCCCATAGAGGTCCAGTAACCACTATTCATTAGTGCTGCAGTTACTACACAAGGAAACCTAAACTAACTTTATTCTTGATATAGTTCTATGCAGTTCCAAACTGTTCTCGCTAAAGGTTCAGTAATGACCATCCTTGATTTCTTCATTAGGGGGACTCAAGGTTTCCGACGCCATAACAAAACACAATAGTGCAAGGGGTGCAAACAAAATGGAATTCCCTATAGGTAAATTTGCAGGGAGTGCAAACACAATGGTGAAAACAATAGATTCAAGATGGCGTCGGAAACCTTGAATCCCCCTAACTACAGGAGGAAACATAGAAGCCAAACAAACGTTTTACAAAAAGGAACAAACTTCGACGTTTCTGGACAAACAGAAGTCGAAGTTAGTCAACTCAGTCATATTTCTCAGTAAGTCGTATCCTTCAACAACTGCACTATAGTCATAACCTTATTCTACATCAGTTCCAAACAATTCTTCCTCGAGATCCAATAAAGAGCATTCACTAATCTGCAGTATACAGCTATTTCAATTAAGGTTGTCCCCGTGCAAGCAAAGCGGAAAAGTCGAATACAAGCGCGAAAGGCTTGCTGGGAATTGCTAAAGAATTCATTAATTTTGTAGCGATTCCCAGCAAGCCTTTCGCGCTCGTATTCGACTTTTCCGCTTTGCTCGGGGACAACCTTATTAATTGAAATAGCTGTATCTATTACGAAGAGTCTGTAGCGTTCTCGTATTAGACACCTGCAGTCAATATGATAAGAGTTAAGTTTTTAAGTTAGGTGGCAAAAATGTTTGACTGTTGTGTCACTGTGTGAATTTGTTTTCTTTCCTTCTTCACGCTTCAAAGTGAACTATATTTTTTCTTCTTTTCTTGTCTTGTTCTTGTATCTGTTCCTTTGTGCAACTTGCTATCACATATGTTAATGCCAGCGGTTTAGCCTTTAGCTATAAGAGCGTTTATATCGGTGAACTGCATGTACGGTGTAATATCTGTATGTTCTTTATGGCAAGGGTCTTGTTATTAAACCATGATAAAGTCGGTGTGGGGAAAAGTTCTAGTCAAGATCCACACATAGAATTTCGTTCAAAAGTTAAAAGTTAATGGTCAGACTGGGATCGGGCTCTTGCACATAATTTCATGCCTTTAATAATTTTCATTCCCTCGGTGCGTAGAATCTTGCTTTTCCAGTAAAAGATTAAGCAGTTAAATGTACCATTCATCGAAGCTATGGTTCTTATCCACAGTCGCAGAAGGTTCAGATGATCCAAAGCAAACATTTTCCCTTTGGAGGTTCTTCTTAGCCCAACGTAGACGAACAGCGGAATGGATAGCACCAAAAAACAAGCGACTGATAGTAAGCAACACGATATATTTTTCAAAGAAAACGACTTTTTCATCTCGAATGATAGGCCGTTTCTACGACTTTTCCTGGCGATTGTGAACAGTTTGTAGTTGATGAACAACATTGGAGGGAAAATAACAACAAAAAGAATTAGAGCATGCATTTCACTGGAAATAACAAAGTCGTTTAAAGACATCAGTGCCAAAGTTGCTTCGAGAATAATCAGTATTGCAAGAAGAGTTAAAAGTCTTCGCTTCGTTACCGATGTTCGATGAAAGATAGGATAAGATGTCGCCAAATATCGATCAAAATTCATAACCAAAAGGGCGAGCACAGAAAAGCTTGGGAAAGTTGATGACAAACTTAAGCAAATATACACCCAGCTAGGGTACACACTAAACTTCCCAGCCAGCCATAACACCGTGATCAGAGCCACCAATGGATGATTAGTTAAAACCAGAAGCAAATCGCAACAGGACAAAACCATTATCATGAAATAACACAATTTCTTACGAAGTTGCACAGATCGCCAGAAGCTGAGTATGACCACGGAATTTAAATATATTCCTGAGAAAAAGAACAATACGTTCAAAGCAAATATGAATATCAGGCTGATAAAATAGCTTAGCTCCATCGTGTGACTTCGCCTGAACTGAATGTAAAGTACGAGAGCAGGTGATATTCGTGAAATGACATTCCCGAAGTATACATGTATATATATATATATATATATATATATATATATATATGACATATTTATACAAATAATTCATTAACACAAGTACACTTTCACGAAATTCTAAAATATTCTATAAGCATGCACTAAACATTGTCTTTATGTACGTGTCAATGCGTTGACGGAAGAAAACGTTGTGCTAGACAGTAAACAAGGTCCGTGACGGCACACGTTGCTTTGGCTACCTCCTTGCCTTTTTCTTCTATTGCATAATGCTTGTTGGCAAGTCAAGCGATTGGCGATACCACGTGTTGGCTATCTCCTCGTCTTTCTCGTTTAAATAAAGAGGTCTGACTCAACTGATTTTCTTTAGTCTCGCAAGTTATTTTCTTCGTAAACGCCATACAAACGCCATACAATGATACAAACACCCGCTTCTGTTTAATAGTTGTTTACGCTCTACTGATCTGATGCAATTTTTCGCTCTTTGTACTGAGTGCAGCCATCTATTCTGTGGTGTAGCACTAGCAGTAGCACCTTATATATACAGTCAATGTGTAATGAATACACCGGTCTAAATAATATCGGCACTTAACTGAATGCCAGTGTAATGGATACATCAATTTATACATTGCGTAGAATCTCAAAGATTTTCTCAATATTCATGTCTGAAACGTTTATAGATTTGAAAACAACACTGTCTCGCTCCTTCTAGCTCGGTATAATGAATATACCGTCAAAATAATATTAAATTTGACCAAGGGAAAACAAAATTTGTTCGAATTAGCGAGGAGTTCGAGTTAAGCGAGTTCGAGTTAAGCGGAGTAAATTACTATAAAAAAACAGTATCAGATCCAAGGGGAATTGGATTTAGTTCGAGTTAGCGAGGAGTTCGAGTTAGGCGAGTTCGAGTTAGCGGGGGACTACTGTAGTACAATAGTCTTTGTGTTTTCGATAAATCGCATCTGTCAAAATCCTTCTCATACGAATCTATTAGTCTATTTTGGTATTATATAAAACAAATAATGAATGTTTATTCGTGCAATGGTAAGAATATTTTCATTCGGTGAAAGATGGAACACTCCATCTTTCACCGAATGAAAATATTCTTGCCATTGCACTCATAAACATTCATTATTTGTATAATATAACACTGAGAAAAAAATACGAATATTAGTAAACAGAAAAAC